ACGTACTTGTTATAGATCTGTCACGGTATATCTGTTCTATGTGCACTATTTCTATGCTTCCCGTTAAGTTTTGTTTTTGCGTCTTTTACTTTATGTTGTGTACACCAGCTTCAAACAGCTCAAAATACAATATCTATGGTTATGGAAAATATATTTCACAGCGGTTTAGACAGTACAATGATTCTCTACACTGTACTTGCTTGTTTTGTCACATAAACTGAAATTAGGCAAACTATTTGAATTTGAGCAACCAGGAAATGGCGACGCGATTTCTGCGTAGTGCATCTTTTTAAACCTTTTTTATATACTTTTTTGATATTACTTTTCTGATTTATAGTGTGTATTTTGCAACAAGTTTTTTTTTTTTTATACATGTTCTTTTAAATTGACCCTTTTACTTTTTACATTAGTTTGGTTTCAGTTTGCTATTACTTTGATTTGCACAATATTATATTTTGCACTGTTTGCAATTTTTTGCACTGAATTGCTTGTTTCACACATTACATTTCTACTCTTTAAATCCATTTTTGGTGAACTGTTTACTTCTATCCGTACTCAGCGGTCTGGTAAACAATGCAACCTCCCGAGTGGCGCAGTGGTCTAAGGCACTGCATCGCAGTGCTAGCTGTGCCACTAGAGATCCTGGTTCGAATCCAGGCTCTGCTGTAGCCGGCCGCAACCGGGAGACCAATGGGGTGGCGCACAATTGGACCCAGCGTCGTCCAGGGTAGGGGAGGGAATGGCCAGCAGGGAGGTAGCTCAGTTGGTAGAGCAGGGTTGTGGGTTCGATTCCCATGGGGGGCCAGTATGGGAAAATAAAAATAGAATAATGTATGCACTAACTGTAAGTCGCTCTGGATAAGAGCGTCTGCTAAATGACGTAAATGTAAGTATTTAGACGTCTGAAGTCCAGCTATACACACTAGCCATCGCAAGAATTTGCATCTGTGAGTTGATGTCCAGTTTTAAACACTAGCCTTTCATTACAAGTACTTGCTAGTCCATCCAGGATTTCGCGGGGTCTTTTTGGTGTTATTTACATGGAAATATGTCCAATTTGGTACGAAAACCGCTGACGAGGGAAAAAGGTTGACGTGTGGCTCGATTGAACCATATTAAGCTTTAAATGTGTGGTGATTGGTTGAAATTGCGAGCCCTCTTTTCTAGTGCAGTGATCATTAAGTATTATGCAATAATATTGCAATGATTTGACTGCTTTATGCAGTAATAGTGCAGTGATAGGTAAAATGTGCCAGCCCTCACATAATATGCGGGGAGTTGTTGATTTTTGCTAAACCTTTTCCGAAAAATCCACATCACTATTGTCGCTCTTCAGCATTAAGAGGTGAGGCGCTGCGCTCTCTACTCAGCCTGGAGTGCCTTTTTTGGCCGTTCAGCAAGCGTTCTCTTTATGGTGTCCCTTGCAGCTTTGGGTCTGGCGTCGGACCCAGCTCCCGGATGGTGCACGGGCTGCTGAGCATTGGAAGCTAGTCCCATTCATAGGCCTTGTTGTTCCTTTCGTATAGATTGTGAAGGACACAACAGGGTGACACCTTGCTTCTGTGGATGTCCATCCGTTTCAGTAGACACCGCCACCTTTTCCTTCAGTCTGCCGAAGGCACACTCCATAGTCATCCTGGTACTGAGTCTTGTGCCCGGGATAGGACTTCATCAGCCATGGAAGCAGCGGGTATGCTGGATCAACCAGAATACCCAGAGGGACTGGAACGCCGTGAGGGACTGGAACGCCGTGAGGGACTGGAACGCCGTGAGGGACTGGAACGCCGTGAGGGACTGGAACGCCGTGAGGGACTGGAACGCCGTGAGGGACTGGAACGCCGTGAGGGACTGGAGCGCCGTGAGGGACTGGAGCGCCGTGAGGGACTGGAGCGCCGTGAGGGACTGGAACGCCGTGAGGGACTGGAACACCGTGGCTCATTCATGTTCCAGAAAACACAGAAGTTGAGATCTTGACAATGTGTAATCGATTAGGCTAACCGGGAACTGCTATTGACTGTACAGCACTTTTGAGTTAATCTAAGTAAGAGACCTACGTCTGGCAGAAGTGCTCCACTCTCAGCATCTTGAAATGGCTTTGCACTTTAGCATTGTGTACACTCCCTGCCTATCCCACATTGATGTCCATGAACCTGTATTAGAAAGTAATTTTTTTTAAACAGTCACACAGCATTGACATTACATTATAGCTAATAGTTATGAGTTAACATTGATTAAATATCAAGCTCCTTAATAGCAGAGGTGCATAAAGATGGCGGCCCCCATGCACTTACCACAAGTGTCCTCGTTTGCCGTATTGCACATTGCTCTCGTTACTCTTTTTTTGTATCGTAATTGGCACAGTATACATGATGCACATTCTTGCTCCAAGATGGAAAAAAAAACCCCAAAAAGTATATTGGGTTGATTTATTGCCGCATTGAACGATGTCTGCGTCATAGTTTAAAAACTATGAATAGTGCTAAAACGATTACGTCATATCTGGATTCTGCCATCTTTTTGCACGTTTGCCATTGTCCAGTGCTCTTTTGAGTCGCCAAAGGCAGCGTTGTAAGACATTCCATATTTTTTCTGCTATGTACTATTAATGTTGCTTGGCCTTCAACTAACAAGTTTTTACCTTGAGTGGTGGTCGTCGACCCCTTGTTGAATAATCTAATGCCATCCCTTCCGATTGAAGTGGTCTGTGTGACTGTCGAGTGGTGGGCTTATGATGGGTAAATGGCACCTAGACATTGAGGGAATCCAAGATCAAGTTGCCTGAATCCCCTGACTGTGTCCCTCCGTGCATCTCCAGTTATCCATCAACCTGAGCTCAATTGCAAAGCATACATTATATATACAAAAGTATTTGGACACCCCTTCAAATGAGTGGATTTGGCTATTTCAGCCACGCCCGTTGCTGACTGGTGTATAAAGTCGAACACACAGCCACACAGCCTCCATAGACAAACATTGGCAGTAGAATGTCCTTACTGACTTTCAACGTGGCACCGTCATAGGATGCCACCTTTGCAACAAGTCAGTTCGTCAAATGTTTGCCCTGCTAGAGCTGCCCCCGGTCAACTGTAAATGCTGTTATTGTGAAGTGGAAACGTCTAGGAGCAACAACGGCTCAGCCGCGAAGTGGTAGGCTACACAAGCTCACAGAACAGGACCGCCGAGTGCTGAAGAGCGTAAAAATCGTCTGTCCTCGCTTGCAACACTCACCGAGTTCCAAACTGCCTCTGAAAGCAACGTCGGCACAAGAACTGTTCGTCGGGAGCTTCATGAAATGGGTTTCCATGGCCGAGCAGCCGCACACAAGCCTAAGATCACCATGCGCATTGCCAAGCGTCGGCTAGAGTGAATCTGGGTTTGGCAGATGCCAGATGAACGCTGCCTGCCCGACTGCATAGTGCCAACTGTAAAGTTTGGTGGAGGAGGAATAATGGTCTGGGGCTGTTTTTCATGGTTCCGGCTAGGCCCCTTAGTTCCAGTGAAGGGAAATCTTAATGCTACAGTATACAATGACATTCCAGACGATTCTGTGCTTCCAAATTTGTGGCAACAGTTTGGGTAAGGCCCTTTCCTGTTTCAGCATAACAATGCCTCCATGCACAAAGCGAGGTCCATACAGAAATTGTTTGTCGAGATCGGTGTCGAAGAACTCGATTGGCCTGCACAGAGCCCTGACCTCAACCCCATCGAACACCTTTGGAATGAATTGGAAAGCAGACTGCGAGCCAGGCCTAATCTCCCAACATCAGTGCCTGACCTCACTAATGCTGTTGTGGCTGAATGGAAGCAAGTCCCCTGCAGCAATGTTCCAACATCTAGTGGAAAGCCTTCCCAGAAGAGTGGAGGCTGTTATAGCAGCAAAGGGGGGGGACCAACTCCATATTAATGCACATGATTTTGGAATTAGATATTCGACGAGCAGGTGCCCACATACTTTTGGTAATGTAGTGTACTTCTTGAAGGGTAGAACAGACGCACCTGTAGCCAGCCACCACACCGCAATAGCAACACGTTTCCTCACTGGTACCGTGACTCTCAAGCGAGTGTCGGTGCGCTCAACAAGTGGCTGCAACTCTATAGTGTTAAAAGTCAGATTTCACCCAGTCCACTTCGGTGAAGTTTCCAACAATGTTTCCCCACCAGTGATTACTGTGTTCCCACGTCCTGTGGCAGTAGCTAATGCTAAAGTTAGCCTTCTCAAAGCTTCTTGTCTTCGGTCTGTTAAAATTGCACGTACCGGTCTCCGTATGGACCATATGTGTCATTGTCACGATGCATTTAAAACCCTACCAAACAGGCATGTCAACATTTATACCAGAAGCAGCACTTGTTCCCTGGAGATTGCCATGTAGAATTGAAGGTTAACAAAATACTAGTGAGTTTATACGCCTTCCAGGTCATGTGGCTGTTCAAGGTGATAAGCGTGCATACGTCACTTCAAGCCCCCCCAAACCCTCTCTCGGTACATGACATTCCCATTTCTAATGTCAATTGAAATGTTTATGTACGTATTGTGTAAATTGAAAGTTATTTGCGATGCCTCTGCTTCAACTCTCTTCAATCTGAATAGGCTCTAAATGTTCCCCATGGCTCCCTATCTGATTGAAAAGGTAAACATTAACCCAATAGCCCTCACAGTACCCATAGAGACCCCCCTCTGGGCATGTTTATACTGGGCTCTATACTTTGATAATGGGCACCATTTTAAGACAGTGGAGGAGCAAAGCTGGTTTATAAGCATTTTTTTTTGTCTTTCTTGATGTTTTACATTTACCACGCAGGACCATTATCCCTTTAGTCTTCTGGTCTTGGGTGAACAACTGCCAAGACATGAATGGTCTATTTAACATAACGTACCTGATCAACTGGGCTTCTGTTCTGTTTGACCCAGTTCATAATCAACTGAAGTCGTTTGTTGACTTTGATTTAGATGAGGATCGTGGCTGATAACTCTGCTGACATAATCTGGTTTAGGTGAGATAATGGCTGATAACTCTGCTGACATCATCTGGTTTAGGTGAGATAATGGCTGATAACTCTGCTGACATCATCTGGTTTAGGTGAGATAATGGCTGATAACTCTGCTGACATAATCTGGTTTAGGTGAGATAATGGCTGATAACTCTGCTGACATCATCTGGTTTAGGTGAGATAATGGCTGATAACTCTCCTGACATCTGGTTTAGGTGAGGATAATGGCTGATAACTCTCCTGACATCTGGTTTAGGTGAGATAATGGCTGATAACTCTCCTGACATCTGGTTTAGGTGAGATAATTGCTGATAACTCTCCTGACATCTGGTTTAGGTGAGATAATTGCTGATAACTCTCCTGACATCTGGTTTAGGTGAGATAATTGCTGATAACTCTGCTAACATCATCTGGTTTAGGTGAGATAATGGCTGATAACTCTGCTGACATCTGGTTTAGGTGAGATAATGGCTGATAACTCTGCTGACATCATCTGGTTTAGGTGAGATAATGGCTGATAACTCTGCTGACATCATCTGGTTTAGGTGAGATAATGGCTGATAACTCTGCTGACATCATCTGGTTTAGGTGAGATAATGGCTGATAACTCTGCTGACATCATCTGGTTTAGGTGAGATAATGGCTGATAACTCTCCTGACATCTGGTTTAGGTGAGGATAATTGCTGATAACTCTCCTGACATCTGGTTTAGGTGAGGATAATGGCTGATAACTCTGCTGACATCTGGTTCAGCTCTATTCTCTCACTTGTTGTGCCTTGTATCGTAGTTGCAACGCGATCACTTCAGTATTCAGTGTTTGTCCCTCATCCCCAGGACATTGGATGATGCCTTTAATACCGTCCACTGGGTGCAACTTAACCGTAAAAAATGTTATGCTTCACCGTGAAGTGCTTTTCTGTTTTAACAACTTTACTTTTACTTCACCTATAGATGTTTATCCCCCTGGACAAACGTTGAATACTGAAGTGAGATCTTGTTGCTTGTTGAGCTGACCATGTCAAACCACACTGCTGTTTCATCCAAGGCAATGGTGTTATTCTTTGTCTTCTGTTGCGCAATCTTTACATTACTCACTTTGAAGTTCACTCGTAAACAATTCATTTTAGACCCGGTGTTTATTTGAAACGGGCGTTTATTTGCTGAAACGTGTGGCAGCTATTAAAAGGGACAGGCGGCTATTTGAGACCCCCCCCCCCCGCGCGCCTCTCTCCATAGTTTGAGATCCATTGGCTGAGGGGTTGAAGTATGATTTGTACAGCTGCTGCCTCCTGGTGGGGTGTTTTGTATGGGTTTGCAGGGCGAAGTGTGCCTGTGCATCTGTCCCCTGATGAAGAACGAATTAGATTTTTCATCTCTGAAAGCACGTGTTCTCTATGTTTTTGTGTCCCTGGTATCCGGTCAGCACTCCTGACCCGAATGTGGGGTGTTTTGGTTCTGCCGGTGTCCCGTCGGGAGTGAGGTGACTTGGATGTTTGGGTTTGCGTCGCGGGGGCGTTGTGTTGGGGGTCTGGGGGCGACTGGAATGCCTGGTGTTGTGTTCTCTCTTATATAAACGGCCCATAGGTCCCCTCCGTCAACAAAATGTACAGGCCACCTTGTTTTCCTTTAGATTTGGCTGCCAGTGTCTGTCCTCCTTTTAACCCCTCCCTGCCATCATCCTTCCCCGGCTCTTATTGGTCAGTGACACAGCAGAACATTGCCGACTGCTGGCTCTGTGTTTTGTAATGGATAAACACATTCCGTACTCAGTCGTTGGGCATTCTGTCACCTCCTTTGTCCTGGATGTGTTAATTGGTCGGTTCAAAGGGGAAAGAATGTGCTGTTCTCTCCTTGTTTATCGGATTTCAATCAACTCCGGTCACTTAATTTAGCTGTCTGGCATGTTATCGTGGACCTGTTGGCATCGCATTCCCCTCAGTCCCTGGCCTGTGTAGCTGTAGTATGCATAGCCACTATAACAACATTTTGAAAGTAGGTAATCACAGCAGGAATAATGGCTCCCCAATTGTCCACTGTTGAGTAGAGACGCTGGAAAAGGTCAAGGGTCAAACGATCCATAGTTTTCAAAAAAATTCCATCTATTGATACCCGCTTTTGATAGTTTGATGTTTGCGTTTTGAAACTCTGCCACGGAATACTGCACAGTAAGGACCTTGGTGACATGAGGAAAGTTAAGTTGGATATTTTATTTGTTTAATTCAGGGCTTCCCAAACTGTTCCCATTTTTATATTTTAAAAAATATGTGACCCCCACCATGTAAAAAAAGAAAAAAGTTAAGTAATCAACTGTCAAAGTTTACTTTTTTAATTTGGGCTATGACAGTCTATTACAAATCAGTCTGACAGTATTTTAATAATCTGAAGACGGTATGGTTTTGGGGGGGGGGGGGTTAAGTAGTTTAGACAAAGGTAATTATCAGGCCCACACAACCTGAAAATAGTATCACCCTGAAATACCATATCGATATTCAATAACCATAGTTATTCAAAAGTAAGTGCCATAATTTGGGCTTGATAGAAATCAAAGAATAATTAAACGTGTGCAGACTTGAGAGATGTATGAGTAAACTTAGATTGATAAAGGTGTGGTTTACACATGCAGGGTGGTACATTACATTTGGCAGCAGCGAATTTTAAAGGAAATATGATTATATAAGCCTGTCACTAAGTAGACAAATTAGAATGTAGAGCCCACCAAACTCCTCCCCTAACATTCTCCCAAGCAAGTCCACGTGACGTGAAAGGCTTTTAAAGACTGGATACACGCACTCCCATCAAAACACTGATACACCTACGAGTCAGAGAGATACCGTGGGCTCTTTTTTTTACTTTTCTGAGAGTTGTGTGTTTTGGGAACTTTTGGGAGTCATGCGCTGCGAAATGAGCTACAGTCTTCACTGCTCGCCAGGATCCTCACCCACACATTCAGGACGTGTGGTTACTTACAGAGCACGATGCAGGTAATAGTCTTGAGTATTTGGACATGCTGTATTCCCTCATCATCCTGTAGCTGTCTTTGCTACTGTATGAAGACGCATCATCAATGCAGGATTTATATCAATGTTGTTTTTTTTTTGGTGGTATTTTATCAACTTGCTTGTGCTCTTGCTCTATATCCATTATCAGTTAGAAGAACATTGTGTGCCAGTGTCCCATTGAGAATATCTCCACGGTATTGTTACCAATTGTATCAACTTTGTAGCCGCAGTGATTTAAGCGCTTTGGCTACTTTGTAGAATCAGTAACTTCAACGTGGTGTTTTGACTGGGCAGTTGTGACTGTCTCTCTCTGTACGTCCTCACGTCGCCTTGTTGAGCTGCAAGTCATGTAGCCTACATAGTGTTGGTGGTACAGTGCGCCCTCTCTGCACGTCCACTCATCGCCTTGCTGAGCTGCAGCGAGGCACGTAGCCTACATAGTTGTGGGGGTACAACGGGCGTCGACGATTGATCGATGCTTTGTGTTTACATTGAATGGAGGAGCCTACGACATTTATGGAATACTCAGAACCTAATTGAAAATGATCTTATCAACTGTTTTGCGAATTGTAAGTTAAATTGCGCGCCAGCATAATTTTAGGCAACAGCTGAGTGATATTCCCACACAGACACACTCTCTACCTTACATTTACATTTAAGTCATTTAGCAGACGCTCTTATCCAGAGCGACTTACAGTTAGTGCATACATTTTCATACTGGCCCCCCGTGGGAAACGAACCCACAACCCTGGCGTTGCAAGCGCCATGCTCTACCAACTGAGCTACATGGGGACTCTCACACAAGCGTTTACCACCTGTAGACACTATCACACGCCGACGATGCGCTCTAAGTCCGAATTGTAAAGGGACATTTGATACATATGTACATTGATCAGCAAATTAATGTTCTGTATCCTGTTCATGTTTGAAGTAAAGCGAGGAACTTCCACTGTCTTTGGAGCAGAACAGCATGGGCCGTATAGTTTCACTTAACCCGGGAAAATGGAGGAAGAATACAATTTAATTTATTCTGTATGATCAGTAAAAGATTAAATCACACAATTACAGACCTGGACAGTATGTTGTCTTGCCAGTGCACCTTCTAGCGGCGTGTTGCGCGCAAGCCCCTTTGTTCAGTCGGAGCTTTGCGGGGCGGTGTGGTCAGTGCACGAGAGGCATCGACCGCGCGTTGGTAAAGGGATAAAAAAGACACATTTTGGGCATTAAATTGCGATTTGTGAGATTATTTAATGTCAACGAGACGTTGGTCTGATCGAGGTGAGTATAATGTATTTTCTATAAGGGTAATGCGCTAAACAGAGCAAGGGAGGAGAGCTGGTGGGAACCACCATAAAAGGGTACACCATATGCTGTGTATTCGACTGTAGGCTACGTGTCGCCTAGACAACAAAATATTGCAACAAATACTATCCTCAAACCGATGTCGACAAAGCGTGCCAAAACATGATCTCTCTCTCTCTCTCTGTCTCTATAGTATTACATCTGACATGAGTAATAATTATTTAGAGGATGGTGTTTTGAATATTTCTTTCCTCGTTTTTCCATGTGTGGTTGTGAGCAATGCGCAGCTTTTACTCATGCATCAAAATGAGATGCTCCTTTTGTGAGATTATCCCATTTTACATATGATCTGCATAATAAACGGTAATAATATTGTTTTCAAATAATAATGGGATCGGTTGTTGGTCCGTTCTGTTTTGTATGGCATGTTATTCTGTCGCTGGAATGCAGTGACCACGCATTTTATCTTCCACAGTATAACAATTTTATGCGAATTTGCTTATTCCCTTGTCCTTTAGGTTTTGTTTGCACTTGATTAGATATCATATTGGAGTAAATGTGCAGCTGAAATGCGTCGTGTGCGGCTCACGTTGGCTCTGGGCCTATTGAAAGTGCACTGTATCATGAAACGATGACTTTCCACACAATGGAGCTCCCAGGGGGTGGAAGGCATTTTGCATGAACCCCTTTCACCACTGGATTCTGTGCTATAAACCTAATCCCCAAAACATCTGTGCTGCTTAAACCCCCTTTTAAATGTTAAACTAGCCTAAATCCCAAATGCATTTAGGCTTTTTTTTTTTTTTAACAGTATTAAGAGGCAGGCAGCATTCTTCTACATGCTGGAAAAGCAGACTGTCAAATGTGGTGTTACACAGGATTGTGCATAAGTCCCTGCATTCCGCTGCATGGGTCCCTGCATTCTGCTGAATGGGCGAACAGATGACTTTTGCTAAGTTCTTCTATAATATTGAATACACTGTACCGTCCTAATGATGATTGGTGCCTACCTTGGAAAATAAGTTCAGTTCTGCTCCAAAGTAAAGGGGATATGACGTCATGCTTAGGCTTGACTGGTGGCAGTCATCATGGAAAACAGAAACATACATTGGAATGTGTAATAGAGGTTTGATGATTCTCTTCAATTCGGGGGGCCTTTTCCTCATTCCTTCGGTGTATTAACATTATTTTCTCTCTGACTCTTTCTCCACAGTTCTTCTGGAGCCAGTGTTGTAGCCATCGATAACAAGATCGAGCAAGCAATGGTGAGTGTATCTCTGGTTCTACATTTTCTACCCTTTAGCTAGGCTCTACTAACATATTGAAAAGTTGAAGTACATGATTTTGACCTGAAGTCAGTGTTAAAGCCTATGAGTAACATATGACATGGTAGTATTGCTGTCTTGCTAGCCCTCTGACATAACCCCTCACATCTCTGTAGTGTGCAGTGTTATATGGCCCTGAGTTGTTGTACTAACGCACGCCTCTCTCTCTCTCTCTCTCTCTCTCTCTCTCTCTCTCTCTCTCTCTCTCTCTCTCTCTCTCTCTCTCTCTCTCTCTCTCTCTCTCTCTCTCTCTCTCTCTCTCTCTCTCTCTCTCAGGACCTAGTGAAGAGCCACCTGATGTATGCGGTGAGGGAGGAGGTGGAGGTGCTGAAGGAGCAGATCAAGGAGCTGTATGAGAGGAACTCTCAGCTGGAGCGGGAGAACGCTGTGCTCAAGTCCCTGGCCAACACTGACCAGCTCACCCAGCTGTCGTCCACCCAAATCAGCCCGGCCGGCAGCATCTCCCCGCCTCAGCAGCTACCCCCCACCAATAACACCAAACCCCACTTGGAGGGTGCAGCTCAGGCTCTCAGCCTGCCCCAGCAGCCCAACGTCACCTCGGCATGATCCCCTGCCTCCGTAACACACCTCCCCGAAATACGCGATGAGGAGACCCCAACTAACCAACCATAACATAATCAACACTTGATTATGTTTTTTTTGAGAAGCAAAAACAAGCAAAATCGACCTTTGTTTGCCGCCATTGTCTTTGAGTGGCGTTAAGAGCCATGCTGCAGTGTGCTGCTGCTTCCCCTGTATTAGACAATCATCATCCCGTGAAAGCGTTCTTTTGGCCGGGCGTCCCCGCGTTAAGTCGAAAGGGAGCTGGCCAATGGAGGAGTACGGTGCAGGCTGCGCCCCACGCAGGGGAGAGAAGTGATGGGCCGCATGGTGGCAGGATATCTGGTGGTGGTCCAAAGGGCCCAAAAACTATGGGCTGTTGGTGGCGAGTGGAAAAGAGCAGGGGAATGAGAGAAACAAAGAGACTGAGGTGGAGAAGAGGATTCACCCCACCATAGGAGGAATGGGTCTCTCACGGTGAGAAGAGGATTCACCCCACCATAGGAGGAATGGGTCTCTCACGGTGAGAAGAGGATTCACCCCACCATAGGAGGAAGGGGTCTCTCACGGTGAGAAGAGGATTCACCCCACCATAGGAGGAATGGGTCTCTCACGGTGAGAAGAGGATTCACCCCACCATAGGAGGAATGGGTCTCTCACGGTGAGAAGAGGATTCACCCCACCATAGGAGGAATGGGTCTCTCACGGTGAGAAGAGCGAGCGAGACTAGTTTTCCCAGAGCCACCACACTTTGACCCAAGTAAAAAAAAAAAAATACCTTCATTAGTTCAGTTTTACTGTTTGCATTTATTTATTTCGGGGCTGCTATTTTCATAATGTAAATGAACAATGTCACAGAAATACTTATATTATAAAAAAAACAAAAACAAGTTTCTGGTATGTTAGATTATCGGTCAGGCATTCAGTTGGTAGTCTAATGCAAAAAGTAGTTCCGTATAGGCAATAGCACCGCTAACACTAAAAGGCAGTTCGTTTAAATGAGATGAAATCCAGGTTGAATGTACATTTTGTAGAGTGTGTAAAGTATTGAGAGCATAGAGGGTTTGTACAGGTGAAAACCAGTTCTTCAAATATATATTCTTCAATGAATTTTCGGTGGTTATATTTTGATGAAGAACACTGTTCATTTCCTTTGCTATAGTTTCTTTTTTGAAAAAAATGTAAAAATTGCCATACTTCCCCAACCTTTTAGAAAATTATATTGCGCATATTTAATTTCTGAGCTGGGGGTAAAAAAAAAAAAAAAAGCTGTGAAATTGTTCAACTTACTTTTGTAACCAAAGACACAAAGCTGTGTAATTCCTATATTTTTATTTTTATTTTTTAATGCACACTTCTATGTATTTTTTTTATTTTTTACTTCCTCCTTCACATCAAATGTTTTTTTTGGGATGCTGTTTAGCATGTTCTGCATGATCTATAATCAAACCACTTTCTTACCTCATGTTTTTATCCAACACTCTTAATGTAACATGTAGTTAGTAATTCAGTCTGAACGATGGGTAAAGGAGCGATCTGAGAGAGTGAGGGGAAAGAGACAGAATGAGGGATTAAGAGGAAGGGAGAGTCCGATGCTCACATTAGCAGAAAATGAAGTTTGACCCATCTTTTTGTTCATGTAAACAGTGTTTTCTTTAAAATGTCATATGCAGACAAAGTTTTGTTACATTTTAATGTATTTGATGAATGCAAACATTTACATTCTGATTGTAGTGTTCCAATCCGTACTTCAATAAAAAAACGTTCAAACTTAACGGAAAACTTTGTACACATTTCACAACTCTAGCTTGAACCCAGTAAATTCTTGTATGAGCGTATTATGGTATGTCCTATCTGTGTTAGATGTATTTTGTGCCTCCTGCACCATCGCCGGTTGTCGGCGACCTGGTTTATTCTTTGTGGCTTATAATTGTACAATCGGTCATCTTTAGCGGGATGAATTTAGATTTCACCTTCAGTTGGGTTTTTTATTTTTTTGTTTGAAGGAGATGCTGTGCACATGCCAGGTGTACTGTATGAACGTGATTATCACTGAGCCTTGGAGAAAATATCTTAACAATGCCCTTGTAATGTGCTGTTCTGACGGTTTCAGTTTTCAGTAAAAAAAATAAATTACTGTTTTATTAAGAATGTCAATGTCTCGCCCAGTGCAGTTTTTGTGTTTGTGTGTCACCTTACAATGAATGACTAATGATCAGCCTAAACTGACTGAGCTGGTTCGAGCTAAAAGCTGAATAGGAAATTGCCCAGAGGGTTAATGCCTGCTTCCAATGTACACTACATGACCAAAAGTATGTGGACACCTGCTCGTCGAACATCTCATTCCAAAATCATAGGCAACGATATGGAGTTGGTCCCCCCTTTGCTACTATAACAGCGACCACTCTTCTGGGAAGGCTTTCCACTAGATGTTGGAACATTGCTGCGGGGACTTGCTTCCATTCAGCCACAAGAGCATTAGTGAGGTCGGGCACTGATGTTGGGCGATTAGGCCTGGCTCATAGTCGGCGTTCCAGTTCATCCCAAAGGTGTTCGATGGGGTTGAGGTCAGGGCTCTGCAGGCCAGTCAAGTTCTTCCACACCGATCTCGACAAACCATTTCTGCATGGACCTCGCTTTGTGCACGGGGTTATTGTCATAATGAAACAGGAAAGGGCCTTCCCCAAACTGTTGCCACAAAGCTGGAAGCACAGAATCATCTAAAATGTCATTGGATGCTGTAGCATTAAGATTTCCCTTCACTGGAATTAAAGGGCCTAGCCCGAACCATGAAAAACAGACACAGACCATTATTCCTCCTCCACCAAACTTTACAGTTGGCACTATGCATTCGGGCAGGTAGCGTTCTGGCATCCGCCAAACCAAGATTCGTCCGTCGGACTGCCAGATAGTGAAGCGTGATTCCTCTGCTCCAGAGTCCAATGGCAGCGAGCTTTACATCACTCCAGCCAACGCTTGGCATTGCTCATTGTGATCTTAGGCTTATGTGTGGCTGCTCGGCCATGGAACCCATTTCATGAAGCTCCCGACGAACAGTTATTGTGCTGCCGTTGCTTCCAGAGGCAGTTTGGAACTCGGGTAGTGAGTGTTGCAACCGAGGACAGACGATTTTTATGCGCTTCAGCACTCGGCGGACCATTTCTTTTAGTTTGTGTGGCCTACCATTTCGCGGTTGAGCCGTTGTTGCTCCTAGACGTTTCCACTTCACAATAACAGCACTTACAGTTGACCGGGGCAGCTCTAGCAGGGCAGAAATGTGATGAACTGATTTGTTGGAAAGGTGGGATCCTATGACGGTGTCACGTTGAAAGTCACTGAGCTCTTCAGTAAGGCCGTTCTACTGCCAATGTTTGTCTATGGAGATTGCATGGCAGTGTGCTCGATTCTATACACCTGTCAGCAACGGGCGTGGCTTAAATAGGCAAATCCACTAATTTGAAGGGGTGTCCACATACTTTGTTATATATAGTATATCTTCCCAGAGGGCTAATACCTGATTTGCCCCATTTAAAATTTTCTCAACTTTTGCATATTTGTGATACTGAATGTTATCAGATCTTCAACCAAAACCTAATATTAGATAAAGGGAACATATGTGAACAAATAACACAACAATTACATATTTATTTCATTGATTTCATAAACACAGTTATGCAACACCCAATTCCCCTGTGTGAAAAAGTATTTGTCCCCTTACACTCAATAACTGGGTTGTGCCACCTTTAGCTGCAATGACTCCAACCAAATGCTTCCTGTAGTTGTTGATCAGTCTCTCACGTCGCTGTGGAGGAATTTTGGCCCACTCTTCCATGCAGAACTGCTTTAACTCAGTGACGTGTGGTTTTTCAAGCAAGAACTGCTCGTTTCAAGTCCTGCCACAACATCTCAATTGGGATTAGGTCTGGACTTTGACTAGGCCATTCCAAAATGTCCAATTTGTTGCTTTTTAGCAATATTCATGTAGACTTGATTGTGTGTTTTGGATCATTGTCTTGCTGCATGACCCAGCTGCGCTTCAGCTTCAGCTCACAGACGGATGGTCTGACATTCTCCTGTAGAATTCTCTGATACAGAGCAGAATTCATGGTTCCTTCTATTAAGGCAAGTCGTCCAGGTCCTGAGGCAGAAAAGCATCCCCAAACCATCACACCACCACCACCATGCTTGACCTTTGTTATGAAGTTCTTACTGTGGAATGCAGAGTTTGGTTTTCGCCAGGCATTGCTGGAACCATGTCGTCCAAAAAGTTATACTTTTGAATCATCTGTACATAGAACGTTCTTCCAAGATTCTTGATGATCATCCAGGTGCTTTTTGGCAAACTTGAGTCAACTTTTTGGACGAAATGGGTTTCATTATGCCTGGCGAAAACCAAACACTGCATTCCACAGTAAGAACATCACTGAATGGGCGTGATGAGTTATTATAGCTAGCTGGTATTTCCTTAGTATTTCCTAAGAAATTCTGTGGTAATGTGTACCTAACTGTATCATACGTACTTCAAAGATTTCAACATGGTATTTCCTGGTACCAAATGGTAGCCTACAACCAAGTTAGATATTTGCCTACAGTGTGTTGCTTGTTTCAATGCATCCCAAAGAAACTAAACTCCCAACGTTTAGGTAGTAACAATGTAATGACCATTGTACTCTGGGATTTCTAAATAAATGCCAGTTAAATCAGAAGCTCTCACGGACAATACTGATTCTATTCTACTCAACCATCGTCGAGTCCATCTTCACCTCCTCGATCACTGTGTGATTCGGGAATGCGTCTGCCCGGTCCAAGGGCAAACTGCAACGGATTGTCCGTTCTACTTAGAGGGTCATCGGCTGCCATCTGCCATCCATCGAGGTCCTGTATGACTCCAGGGCAAGGAAGCGTGCAGGAAAGATCATCACCGACCCCTTTCACCCCCGGACACCCTATCTTCCAAAGACTCTGGCAAACTGACAGTTCAGGTCAATCACGACCAAAACCTCCCG